GTGACTCCCCCCTCCCCCGATCGACAGCAAAGTTTTGGGGAAAAACCGGAAATTTCGGAAAAACTGGTGGGAGGTTAGGGAAAATCTGAGAAATTTTCCTGTTTCTCATTGGGTATATACCCCCCCCCCCCCGCTCGACGGAAAATTCTTGGCTGAAAAACTGGAAATTTTTCGGGAAAAAATGGAAAAAGTGGTAGGAAGTTGGGAAAATCTAGGAAAGTGTGGTAGAATCGAGCCGTGGTAGCATTGGGAGGGGAGAGGTCGTATATGAAGCGGAATTATCGTCTCCTTCGCCCAGCACCGAAGCTTCCTTTCTCCCAATCAATTTACAGTATGCCCAATTTGGCATTTCACGGACCGACACATTTAATTTCACGTGCACTTTTTGGTGGTACTGCATCTCTAAAAACAGCAATAGGTTTTGCTTTAGTTTTAGTTTTCTATAGGTTCTAATCATCTCACTGGCTGCCAGGCACTTCTCGCTTAACATGCATGCAAACAAAAAATACGAAAAAAGGCCAGAAAAAATCGAGGGGGGGAGGGCGTCACGATTTGACTGTCATTTTCAACTGTCGGAAATAATAGTTGTGGAGATCCTTTCCCTTTCCCAGATACGACTCCTCCCTCCCTCGCGGTCAAATACGACCCCCGTTGTGATCATCACAACGATGGCGTGCTCTTATTGGGACACTGTATTTAGCCTGTCTTCCTTAACTTGTAATTTACTGTCGCAAAATGTGTCTTTGAGTGATTTCTTCTTGTACTTTGAGATCTGTTCCAGGCTCCGACAACGGGGAGCGCAACTACAGATCCGCTGGCGATTCCGCCACCATCACTGTGAGCATCGATCCATTCGCCATCATCTTGCGCATTCAAACTTAGTTTTGAATTATCGTGCTATCGGGTCAAAAATTGGTGTGCTTTTTCTAATCTAGTTCACATGTTTAGTTTTCTTCGTTATTTTCCTATTTTACTCTAATTTTATTTCACCGAGAAGTTTCGATAATTGTTTTTGAATCACCGAAATGACTTGAGCTTATTCTACACTGTTCGGTGGATATTGGAATGAGGTCATTTTTTCAAAGGCACATTCCGCGCTGACTGTGGGGGCGGAGTCAGCCGTCATTGCGTTTTCCTCATTGGTGCACTCTTCCATTTTACTTCCCCAGGAAGATTAGCTCATCTGTGAGAAGGGAGTGTTGCTCATACAACTCCGCCCATCCAACTATCAAGGAGTTTTCCATCGAAAGGCTGTTCCGAGCGCTCCAAGCGAGTTTTGGAGTCGGTGGTGATCGCGTTTAAGAGTGCTGATGGAGCATAAAGCTTTCGACCAGCGCTTCTGTCAGCGTAACGTCGCTGGTTGGTTTTGGGGGAAGGGCCGATTCTGCCGCTTCAATGGTCGTCATCGCGGCGCACCTGTGCGCTTGCTGTTTTTCACCCCCTGTTTCCTTCTCCTATCTACTCCTTTCTTCGTTGCTCGCTACCCTACAAGTCTATCGCTCTATGGGTATAGATGCGCGCTGTACGTCGGTATTGCTCTTATATTATTGCTAATTTTGTGTTGTATAACTCTGTTGGGGTCTAACACACATATATATTTTTTACTGTTATTGTGTTTTATCGAGTGATTATGAAAGATGCCAAACTCGTGGTTTTAACCGTGTAAAATATGCCTATTGATCGGTTGAGTGATGTACTGATCGATGCACTAGCTAATAAGTCTCATTGAGTCATGACAACTTACGAATAATCATGGTTTGAAATTAAATTTGCCGGTTTTCGATATGCGTGTAAATCGCGGCTCACCAATTTTATCAGGTTGAGGGCGTTCGGCACGAAAATGTGGGTGAAACTCGTCAAAAAATGGGCGGGACTTGTCTTCGTGCCAATCCTGGTTGTGCTCACAACTATTGCGCTTTAATTCTGGCTTCGGTCGCGATATAGGTGGCAACAGGACTGACCCAAGGTTCTTAGTGCGCCTGCGCAGGAGCTGCAGTCCACTCAGCCTAGAGCTAAATCGCGCCCTTAGATTTGAGGCGATGTAATGGTGCTTCTGGTCATGTGATCCCGTAATGAATTTCGACACTGAATTTGCCTAAGAGCTTTTCAGATAAAAAATTAAATATTAGATTTTCACTGTAATTATGGATTGCTTTGTTAGGGGTATTTGTGAGAAAAGCAACAAGTTTTCTTCATCGTGTAGAACACGTTGGCAGGGAATTGTTGTGTGTTTATTTGATTATTTAGAAGATTCAAATTCGTTGAAGCGTAATTTCAGTGCCGCCACATTCGTTGTATTCAATGTTTTACTTTATATTTGCCTTTTTTTGCTTCTATTACTGTTGTTATTTGATCGATTTGTGCTCTTCGCCCCTCCCCTCTTGGATTTTCTGTCTGTCTCATCGCCTATTTCTTTGTCGAATCGACTGCAGTCGAATATTTGTATTCGCTTGTCTTGTGCTTTTATATTGTATAATGCTGAATAAACTCGTTCATTTCGCTGAGTTTTGTTCATGGTGATGACCTGAGTAAGGAACTCAAGAGTGGCTTAATGAGTTAATCCGCTTCTTTCGATTAAGTGCATTTGGTGTGTTGGACGGCTAGTGACGCGTGCGGTCGCACTGCGGTTGGTTTGCTGTGCAGTGCGCGAGAGAGTGACGCGTGTGGTCGCGTTGCAACAGGCTTGTTGTGCAACAAGCTGCTGCTCGAAAACACGAGTATGCGATGATGTTGGCTATTGTGCCAGTTTGTGATCCGATGCCGCTCCTCCCCCTTACTACATCCTTAATTCTCAAATTCAAATTGTGAATAATGTTTATTTCATAGGGTTATGAGTAAGAAATGCAAAGTTAGCAGTTCCTCACTTGATCGCCGCACGGCTGTTTTCTCAGTGAAGTCAACAACTGCCACCAGGAAAAATCGTGTGACAGCCGGGTGCTGACGCGCGCGATCGCGTCGCGGTTTTGTAGCCCAGATGTGCCTTAGGCCGCGTTCGTACACAGCGCCTCCGTGGAATTTTAGAATAAGCAAAGTATACGTATCGATTTGGAAATTCCGCGGAGGCCACGGAGGCCGCGGAGGCGCTGTGTATGAACGCGGCCTTAGATCTGTCTGGTATAATCGGTTGATATCACGGCTGTGGGGAAGGGAAGGTTGTCGGTCATTGGTTCTTCTCTTATTACGTTCGGAACCCTTCCAAATAGCTGAGGTACTAGACGGAGTTGGGAGGGGAGCCTAAAGGGTCTTCAGGAGGCTAAGTCCCAAAATGATCAATTAGTGCCAAGAACTACTAAATGAGTGGGCGGCGTTGGTCGAATGAGGGGTATTTAGTAGAGACTTGTAATGTGGCCAGTTTGGCCTGACCATTTTATAAGGACTTGCCAATTCTTGAGGAGCTGAACATGAAGTCTGTACAAGTAGCTTCACACATTCACGAATTCACAGTCTTTTGGGCCCGGCACTTCGACATGAACTTCTGCGAACACTTACCTTTTTGGTACCTCGTGGTTCCTCTTTAACCGACACATAGACCCAGTGGAGCAGCGCTTAACACGTTGACGACATTATGAGCCACCGGTGGTTCATAAGTGAGTGGCCACGTGGGACAATATGAGCCACCGGTGGCTCAAAACTTTCTCCACCACCTTTTCGGGTTATTGCCGGCAGTCTCAATCGATTTTCTTGCTTTCGAATAACCTGTGAAAGGTGAATGTCCAACAGGGATGAGCAAGAAAAATGTTGCTGCCTCCATGAGATATTTTGAATTAAAAATTGAAATTTTTCAACTAGCTACTGCTGCGGCAGAAACCTCCAAAATAGTTCTTTTTGGACGAAACCTTGGCTGCAGGGACTGCGCGGGGCTTTGATCATGAACGTGAGATCTTATTTGTCGTTGGCG